ACTACTACTACTGCTAATAATAATAAGAAGAAGAATACGCATACCAATACTCATACTCACATTAATACTAATACTACTACGAATACTACTACGAATACTACAACGAAGACGAATACTGATACTCAGACTGACACAGGTTCTGATGGTAATATTTAATACTAATAGTAACACCACCACAAGCACTAACCTTTTAGCCTAAACAAGCATAACCTAGAGTCATGACAGCATGAAGAGATTACCAGGAATGGCCCCAAGCAGGAGAAGAAGAAGAACGAATGAACATGCCGTCAGCAGCCATGCTCGCACAGCGTAACAGCTAACTGTTCCTGATCACAACAAACAAAATCATACTGAGGATGCCGGTGCAAATCATAATGCTGCGGCCAACACTGACAATGATGACGACAAAAGTTTCTAACAATGGACATAGCAACCAGCTCGACTCAGTGCAGCACCGGCGACACCATGGTCGTCATCGCTAGTACCATCAACAGAGTCATCAGCATCACCGTCACGATCACCGCCACAGGATTTCTTCAACCCCAAATTTTGCGACATTGCTGAAACTTCCACCTCCTTACATGACAATTGTTCGAAGACAAGTGTGGGTTCGTCTGTGCATGAGCACTGGATACCCCTTCTTTGCACTGCGGACAAGCCCCTTTGGCACCGGAATAAAAGGCATGTTGTCGCATGCCTTTGCTGCGGCGCGAAACTCTGCGCCCCGAGCCTGTCTAACACGAAGTGTTCAAGCAGACTCCCCAGCCTGCTTTTGTGAAGCGTGAAGCCGAGTGCAAAAACAGAGACTGCCAACAAACTGGCTCCGAGGTGTCTCCTGCGCTGATGCGGATGGGGCCGAGGCGGAGCTTGTCTGCCAGTTACCTGCAGCTCCTCTGGGCGGAAATCGATGTCGCGGCCAGCATGCAGCAGCCCCTCCAGCGCAAGGTGCAACGCCTCGCGGCCGGCCCTGCCGAAGCGGTTCTGCTCCAAGTCCAGCGTTGAGAGCTGCGGGGCTGACTGCAAGGCGACGGCGAAGTGGCGGGCCCCTGCGTCCCCGAGGAAGTTCTCTTTAAGGCTCAGCTCCTGCAGTAAACATGCCCGGCTCTGTAGAGATTGGGCCAGGGAAAGGGCTCCCGCATCACCCACGCGGTTCTTGTTCAGTCGGAGGCTGCGCAGAGATTGGCTAGTCTGCACAATGCTCGTGGCTGCTTGTGCTCCGCGGTTGCCCAGGCCGTTCCCGGAAAGATCCAGATCGTGGAGCCTGCAGCAGGAGCCCAAAGCTGGTGCCAAAGCTAAGGCACCGGAGTCCTCCAGCATGTTGCGGCAAAGGACCACTTGCTCCAAGCTGTGTTGAAGGCACGGAGCTCCCAGGGCGGCGGCAAGCTCCCTCACGTCTGCTTCCATCATCGGGCTGTCTGTCACGTGGAGGCGCTGAAGTGCTTGATACCGAGGCAGAGCGGCCATGAGGGCAAGCATCTCACTTTGCGGGAGCTTCACCAATGTCAGCAATCTCAGATTGTTGGCCTTTTCCTCCAAGATCTGGTGCAAGATGTACGTGACGGCGTCCGCATCCTTTTGCTGTGCGAATTTCATACCAGCAACCTCTTTAGACACCGAACGTGCGTCCGTGGTCATGAGTGGAGCTTTGCCACTCAGCCCACGCCTGCGCTCTGATGCTTCGTTGACCATCATGTAGCGAGATGGGCTGCTTCTGGCCCTGGACCACAACTGCTCGGCCTGCATCCAGCCCCTTTCACGAGGCGGGATTCCCTTCAACACTAGGTCGCGCACCGGTACTGTTTGAACTCCGTCTACGTCCGGCAGGCGAATCCTAATTGACTTGCTTAGCGCTGCTACACGCTTTGCCTCAGGCGTCAACTCATCAATGGCAAGAGTGTAAGTCTCGTCATGCGCGAACATGACGTGCACGTGCTGCATGTAGACTTGGAAGCTGTAGTCTTGTTTCGGTGTTTGCCAGATTTGAAACGTTGACATGTAGTCTATAAAATGCCACCACATCTCTGTTCCAGGCAGGTCCGAATGTCGGAAGCCCACGATCAACGATAACTGGAAGCCTGCGTAGTCGGGATGCTCCAGGGCCTCCCACGCGTGGCTCAAGCCGACGATGGGATGCTCTGCACGGAACTTGACTTCATCCTGCACACCCGGATGGGGGCCGTTCCTTCTGAGGCAGAAAATGACTAGAGTCGCTACCAGCAGTTGAGCATCAAGAATCGACAAAAGATCAAGGTCCTCTGGTCCATTAGCAATAATGGCAAAGCCCGACGCAACACCTAAGATATTATCATACATTCCCATCCCTTACCGCTTCAAGGCCTGTTTCTTCAGCGTTGCAGGAAAAATTCCGGAAAAAAACATGGAAGCTACGAAACGCTAAGGAAAGCTAAGAAAAGCTACGAAAAGCTAAGTATTTCCTACAATGATGTTGTCACTGGAACGGAGGTTTAAGGTCCTAGTCCTAGAGAAGCCTGTTGTAAAACGGGGCTGGGAGGTTGAGGGTTTAAGGTTTAGGGTTTTAGGTTGTAAAGGAATTTGTACGGAAAGTCCACGAAAGGCTATAAAGAATTCCAACAAAAACTAAACAAAAACTAGACAAAGCTAAACATAACTAAACAAAACTAGACTTTTTCCAGTTTTCGGCCGGACCCGGCCAAAAAAAAAATAATGAAATTCCACGAAAAGCTACAGAATTCTTTGTCTCGCTGGATTATCAGCGAAGGATTTCTGCAGGTTTTTGGCGCTTTCATTAAAGGAATTCTCTAGGATTTCTCTAGCTTTTTTTAAGTTCCTTCAATGGTGCTCCAGCTGCGAAGAAGCATGCGTCAGATAGGTAACTCATGCGAATTTAAATTTGAGAACCTAGTTTTATTTTGATCAGTCTAAGCGCGTCAAAGTTCAAATTCTGCCGACAGCAATACTGCAAGCCTTCTTCTTCAGTGCTGCGCGGTACAAGTACTGCATGATACAACATCTCAAAAGGCGAATCAATGCCTCTGCTGCGTGAAACGCTTTATGTTCTAGTGCGTCCCGAGTTGGCTTTGGGAAACAAAAAAGCCAATTGAGTGATCATGCGCACCAGGCGCCCCGCTTACTACTGAGAGCACATGATCTGCGACACATGAGACAGAACATGCACGTACATGCCTCAGCTTCAAGAGTTGGGATACAAAAAGATGGATGCAATCTCAATCGTGCACCTCACCTTGATCCCCCTAACCCCCTCCCGGCCAGTCCTTCCACTTCTGCAGCTCCTCCCTGGAAACGAAGCCATCCTCTGGGACATCCTGCCGTCGGGGCATCGTCAGCCCCTGCCAGTGCAAGCTCTGCAGATAGCTCCCCTTCACCAAGCGGATCGGCTCGGCTGGGTGGAGGAGGAAGTCGATCAGAGAATCGACGCTCGTCAGGTCGACAGAAATGCCTTCATCACGGCTATCCTCTGATCCTGTTCCCTGCATGCCGGTCGCATCGGAATCATTTGACGTGAGTCCGTTTGCGAAGGATGCTGCAGCTTGATCCACGGATGTCTGCCCGAAATCTAAGGTTGGCTTGGCACGCAGCGCTCCAGCAAGATCGTCGCATCCCTGTGCCACAGGACTCCCGTGAAGGTAGAGCGTTTTCAGGGACTTACCTTCGCGGGCAGCTGCCGCCAGGGCGCGTGCCCCGCTAGCTCCTATGCAATTGTAGCTGAGGAGGAGCTTCTGCACCACCGGGTTCTCTGTGACCGCCTTCGCCAAAGCCGCGGCCCCTGCATTTTCGATGCGGTTGGAGTCCAGATTCAAGACCTCGATGGATCTACTCTTCTGCAGCAGCTGCGCAATCGCCTCTGCACCAGCATCCTCGATGCAGTTGCCACTGAGATCGATGTATCGCAGCAGCGAGTTGGACTTCAACTTCCGCGCCAAACACCGGGCTCCATGATCTTGAACACCACACTGCCGAAGGCCAATGGCCTCCAGAGATTGGAGCTGTGAGAGCCAATTGGACAATGCCTCCAAGATGGCGAAGTCCATGCAGCACTGCTCTAGCCACACGTTGCGCAGGGTGCGGTAGAGACTGAAGCTGGTAGACCGCTCTAAAGCTTGCGAGAAGCCTTTTGCTTGTTCTTGACACTCACTGGTGAAGTTGCAATTTGCAAGAGACAAATGCGCCAGCACCTCATAGTAGAAGAGAGCGTCGGCCAGCACTATCAGCTCTGTTACTGGCAGGCTCTTCAAGTCTAGAGACTTGCAGGATTTGGCCTTGGCCAGGAACACCTCTGCCTGCTTCTCCATTACCGGCCTTGCATCTGTGCTGCGATGCGTGAAATGCAAGGAACCTGCCGCTACCTGCTGCTGGAACAGTTCCGGACAGAGTGGCGCTCGGCCACCGTACTTGACAGTGCTACCGCAGTTGATTATGTGCCCCTGGCTCCGCGTGCCTGACCACTCCAGCTCAGCACGGCACCAGCCTCTCTGCTGGTACGGGCGTCGGTTGTGATGGAGCGCTTGCAGTCTCACTGGGCCAACCTTGCCCGCTTGGGGCTGGTCTTCAGGGCAGCTGAAAACTTCGACCTCTCGCCTGCTGCACTTGTCCATCTGCTCCTGGGGTGTGAGGTCTTCCAACACCATCGTCCATGTGTCATCATGGGAGTACATCACGTGCATGTGGGCCAATGCCTCTCGGAAACTGTTCTCCTGCTCGGGTCGATCACGATAGAATTGGAACAATGACATGAAGTCCACGAACCACCATGATGAGTCGATGTCAGGCACGGTCATCATCTTGCCCAGCCTGGGCTACTGCTACTGCTAGGGTATTGGAAAATATGGTAAATGATGTAAGGGACAGCAGCCGCTAGCATTTGCGTGCCCCCACCCATCCTGTTATTTCTTGCACAGGTGCAATACGCTTAAACTAAGCTATCAGAATATGGGTATGGTGTTGATAGTGGGGCTTTCTTACTATGGCAACTTGATTTCAATCTCTTAACAATAACCCAGCAGCTGGAAACCAAGCGGGTCGGGGTGCTCCATCGTCTCCCAGACATGGGAGAGGATGATGATCCTGTGTTTCCTCACAGAACAGATGCACTAGGGTTTTGGAGTATACCGGCTTTGTTATAGAGGGATGATAAGAGAAACATGTGAGTGATCCTGTCTGCTTTTTGCATTAGAGGCAAAAGCAAACGAACAGACATTTCCCCAAGCTGGCTTAGGATGCTGAAGGGACCAAAAAGGCAAAATGCTATCAGAAGCTGCGCACCGAGCGTATCAATCCTATATACTTTGAATGCCATAAACCCCCCAAAACTCACACCCATATCATCATATCCTAGTAAAAATGGGCCCCTTTATGGGCGCTGCTGGGGCGCATCCGGAAGGGCAGATCCTCTCTCCACTTCCGCAGTTCCAGAGGTGACACGAAAGCCTCGTCGGGCATCTCCTGCCGCCGCCTCCAGACCTGCGCCCCCGCGGTTCTTTTGTGCAAGTTTTGGGAGCCATGTAAAGAAGCCAGGGTTTAAGGCTTTTGATATCGTCATGCTAATTTACCACAAAAATTCCTAGGTTGCTGCTTCATAAAAATTCAAGGTTATCGCTTTTGGGAAGCCCTGTTGTTTTGCGGGACTTGCAACCACTTGTTCTTGCAAACCTATTGTTTTGCAGGGCAACGGCGAAGGAGTAGTAGAGGAGCATAGCCTTAAAATTACTTGGCGAATTCCTCGAAAAACGATAGGGGACGTGCTAATTCAAAAACACAATCTGGATTGTAGTACAACATTAGTACTGGAAGTGCCTCGTTTCGGATGCAGGCTGGATTGTGCTTGGTTGTAGTACAACTTTAATGCTGGAAATGCCTGGTTTGGAGTCCTGGCTGGATTGTGCTGAATTGTAGTGCAACTTTAGTACTGGAAGTGCCTCGTTTCGGATGCGGGCTGGATTGTGCTTGGTTGTAGTACAACTTTACTACTGGAAATGCCTCGTTTGGGGTCCTGGCTGGATTGTGCTGGATTGTAGTACAACTTTAATACTGGAAGTGCCTCGTTTCGGATGC